CTCCAGAGATGGGGAACTCACCAACTCTGGGCAACGTGTGGCAGTGCTTCAATATCCTCATCATGAAGCAAAACAAAACAGAACAGAACAAGCCTTTTCCTTATATCCAATTTAAATCTCCCCTCTTTCAGTTTGGAGCTGCTTCCCCTTGTCCCGTTTCAACAGACTCTGCTGAAGACTCTGTCCCCTTCTTTCTCATAGCCCCCCGTCAGACATTAAAAGACCACTCTCAGGTCTCCCCTCAGCCTTCTCCATGCTGAACAGCCCCAGCCCTCTCAGCCTGTGCTCCTGGGGAAAGCGTCCATCCCTACGAGCATTTCTGTGGCCCTTCCCCAGACATGCTCTAACAGATGCACATCTCTCCTGCACTGAGGACTCCCCATCTGGATGCAGTGCTCCAGGTGAAGTCTCACAGCACAGAAGGGCAGATCCCCTCCCTCGCCCTGCTGGCTGCGCTGCTTTTGATGCAGCCCAGGATCTGGTTGGGTTTGGGCTGTGAGGGCACAGTGCTGGCTCATGTCCAGCTGCCATCCACCAGCACCCCCAGGTCCTTTTCAGCAAGGCTGTGTTCCTTACATCCCTCAACTTGTACTGATGGTGGGGGCTGCCTCGTCACCGGTGCAAAACCAGTTCAAATCAGTGCCTGCCGCTCTGCTCCCCTCACCAGGAAGCTTTAGGCCACCGTGATTCCTCCCCTCCGCCTCCTCTGCTCTGGACTGAACAAACCAAGGATCTCAGCCACCCCTCACACACGTTGCCCTCCAGATCCTTCACCATCTCTGCAGCCCTGCTTTGGATGCTCTCCAATAGCTCTATGTCCTTCTCATACTCTGGCACCCGACCTGCCCCCAGTGCTCCAGGTGAGGCTGCACCAGGGGGACACTGCCTTCCTTCTCCCAGCTGGCAGTGCTCGGTCTGGTGCACCTCAGTGTACGGTTGGCCCTTCTGGCTGCCCGGGCATGCTGCTGGCTCAGGTTCAACTCTCTGTCATCCAAAAACCCCAGATCCCTTTCCACAGGGCTGCTCTCTAGCCTGTCCTCCCCCGGTCTGTATGCATATGCAGTCTTGTCGTGTCCAAAGTGTATATTCTCTAATTCAGAGGTCCCTTTTTACAGTTTATCTAGCTATCCTTTCTGTGTTTTTATAGTAGTTGCTACTGTGTTGTCCAGTACTGACATCAAGCTTACCACTGTGTTGCATCACAGACCTCTCCAAAGCACGTTTTTAGATTAGCATCAGACTGGCCTCATTGCAGGCCTCTGATACTGACGCCATTTAAGCAAGAAGGCACATACCAGAATTGTAGGCACTGCTGCTTCGCCCTTGGTTGAATGGCTTGGCCGTACATTAGTTCACTTGTCCTAGCTGTCCTGTAGCTATACATTCCCTTTGACACTTTGGTTCAGTGTGTCCTCTGATGAGTTTGCTGTGTAAAGAAGTTCCTGCATGGGATCTTCCCAGCTATTCCACCTAGCACACAGCTACGAAAAAAATTACGCTTTTTGATTCTCTTAAGATGTTGTCATGTCTAATGATTGTTAAGCTTTTGGTTTTCTTTTTCTTTGTATTGGAAGGAAGGCTTTTCATTTAAGTGAAGCCTTTATCTCTTGTTGCCAAAATTCTTTATAGCTTTCCTTACAGTTTTTTTTCTGTTTAACCCCATGGAGCTTCTGAGCCTGTCAGTTTTCTTCACTTGGGCACAACTTCATTATTTTTTATAGATCTCCTTTTAAAAGTTGAATTTAACTGTAGTAGCTTCGCCAGATGATTATCAATCTGATTCACCTCTAAGCTTTCTCTTAAATGCAGTGATTCTTCTCCACCAGCACAGTCTATAGACTGTTTTCCAGGTCTGTTTTGTAGCTGTACATGCAAGTGCCTAGCTGATTTGGAACAGTGTTAATCTAAATCTGATGGGTTATTTGCTTCCTGTCATTTTAAGTAGAAGAAAATTCAGATAAAACTTTGATCTCCCTTCTGCAGAAGCATTTCTTTGTGTGTTCACTCATATTCAGTTTGCTCAGAGCACTCACCAAGTCTTCATCCCATGTATTCTTGGATGCTCAAAACTCTCAGGATCTTCTCCGCTTCGTAGATCTTGGACATTGCAATTGAATTCCCGGTGTACAAAGAACTTAAGGAAAACATAGGCTGTTTTCACGTCAGCAAAAAAAAAAGCAATTTAAAATTTCTGCTTCTTTACTAATATGCTTTTCTAGCATCTGTATATTCTTCAGTCTGTTTTCTGTAGGGTGCTTTATTACATGCATGGAAACCACCTTCTCTGGTTTTTCTCTTGTGCTGTCATATCACTGCTTACTTCTCCCCTTTGGATCATTCTCCCTGTTGGCAATCTTATTTCTACAGTAGCAACTACTGTGAGGACTATATAAGGGATTGTTATTGCTTGTTTGTGTTTAGTTATCACACCGAAGAGTAACATTTATTAAGGGAGAAAGCAGCAACACACAACACCATTATTCTGTTCTCTCCTCAGCAGGCTCTGGGTCGTAATTTATACATCATAGATGTATCCCTTATTCCCCATACTCTATTTCCAAGTAGATCATAGGCTGTGCTTTATCCTGGAATCTGTATAAAGAAACATCATAATGTGAATTCTGTTCCTAAGGGAACTGCACTCAGTTTTACAATTTTTAATAGGTCAGTGATGTTGGACAGAGCTGAAAACCTTCTTCATGACCACTATGGAGGGAAAGATTATTGGAATGTGAGTATTCTGCAGTTAGCTTCTCTAGATTTGCTACTTGGTTTTGATTAAAAAAAAAGTTGGTGACCAATACCTGCTTCTGTTTTGCCTTGGATTTGTTTTTTTCTTGAAAGTAACATTTTTTTCAACAACATTTGCTAAAGGTGGTCTTCAGGCTGCTGTGGGCTAATGTGATTAATGTGTTTGCATGTTTTCTCCCCAATGATCTAGAGCTCTAGGAAGCTGTATTTAGAAGGACCTCCCCCATAGAACGCTTCTGCAACCAGAACAGAACTGCCTTTGTGTAAATTCTAGTCAGCCTCAAGATGAGATGTTTCAAAAGAGTTCCTGAAAGTGCTCAGTATCATCCTAACTTTCTTTCTGTCTGATTGCAAAATTCCTACAGGTTTCAAGATAAAAAAAAAAACAAAACACCAAGCACTTTAGGATACCCCACCCAATAATATTTTAATAATAATGTTTTAATAATATTATAACAAAGGTAAAGGTTCGGCCATTGGAAAATAGAAAAGATGTGCTTGATATAATTTAAATTTTAGAGAGGAAGTGGCTCTCTCGTGATGTTATGAAACCAGTTGTGTAGATCACCAATATCTTCCTCTAAACTATGTCCCTCAGTACAACATCTGAATGTTTCTTGAATACCTCCAGGGGTGACGACTCCTCTCTGGGCAGCCTATTCCAGTGCCTGACCACTCAGAGAGGAATTTATTCCTGACATCCAGTCTGAATCTCCTCTGGCATAACTTGAGGCTATTCTCTCATCCTGTTGCTAGTTACATGGAAGAAGAGGCCAGCCTCTACCTAACCATAGCCTCCTTTCAGGCAGCAGTAGAGAGCAATAAGGTCCCCTCTGAGACTCCTTTTCTCTACACTGAACAACCCCAGCTCCCTCAGCCACTGCTCATAACATTTGTGCTGCAGACCCCTCGCAGTTTTGTTGCCTTTCTCATTCCATGGCCTCAGTGTTTCTGGTAGTGAGGGGCCCAGCACTGAACACAGCACTCGAGGTGCGGCCTCCCCAGAGCTGAGTAC